AAGATATATATATATATATATATATATATATATATATATATACACACACACACACACACACACATATTTGGTAGCAGCCTCAGCATCAGTATCAGCATCAGCGGAAGCATTAGGGCTCTTTCCCCCTTTAGAATTTGAACTCCCCAGATCTGCAGGTCCCCCCACCCTTCCACCGCCCCACCTCTCCCCTCTTCAGAAATACAGGAGAACGCGGACATGCGTTTCCGCGGACTGGAACGGACTGGAACCCTGTCAGTTAATGCGGAGGGAAGGGGGCGAAAGTTACTTCGCAGGCAGCGATGTCTCACCTTCCATGCTTGTTGCCATGGAGATGAAATCCAGCCAGTAGACTTAAGTGTTGGCAGGTTTGTCTGGGTGCGCTGATCGGTTCAGAAACAATGTAAGAGACGTGTCTTGGGAACCTGCGTGGAGGCACAGGACCGTGGTTAGCGCTTTCCTGGCCTGTGTGTGTAAATACCTGTGTCTGTCGGTGAGAGACAGGACGTGAGCGCCGGCTAAAGTGCGTGTGCGTGCGCGTGTGTATGTGCAGGAAAGGAGGCACGGATTTCTTCGGTGTGGCAGTGTGTAAATATTTGTGTGTGCGCGCGCGCGTGTGTGAGAGCCTCTGACGATGTATAGGAGACTGAGAGGAGGTAGGAAATGAGGGGGGAGGGAGCCTGCTCTAGCAGCAACAGGCTCTATCCTTCACATCTGCTAAAAAGAAAAAATAAAAAATTAAGAGGAAACGATAGGCGCTCGTTTTCACTCTTCACCCTAGACTTTGGAGTGACCATCACCATGGCTACTTCCTAAGGCTGTGGGTTTAGTTAATGTGTTGCTAAAATCCTCGTTTGTCTGTCTGCTGCATTCCTAGCTGTGCGGCGGGCATTTTGCTGCCCTCAGTGACAGCAGTCTCAGTCGAACAGTCTGCGCTAAATTCTTGCGTGCTTTTCACTAGATAAGGGCAAGTCTCGAGTGCAAGTGTGATGGTTTAACTGGAGACTGCGTCATTTTGGAGTACTTTTCCTCTACTCTCTTTCGTTTTCTTCTGCACAAACCCAACCGAGTGAATCCCTAGGTGTAGGCGCCTAGGCGCTGTCCGTAGTGCTGAAATGTTGGACCGGGAGAGCTCACTTCCAGTAAGAACAGGGAAACAGGGACACAGTAGCTCTTCAGAAACTGCGAGGCGTCACGTTTTCTAAATGGTGTTGAAATGTAGATTCCAAACCGTAGCCACATTGGAAACCAAACAAAACAATTACAATGACAGCAGAAAAAGCATCTTTCTCCACCTTATTTTTTTAAAAAAAGAATTAATTTTAATTTTATTTATTCATTTATTTATACTTAATTTGACCAGAAAGAGACACAGAGAAAGAAAGAGGGAAGGTGGGAATGCAAGCCACCAGGTTCAGGACTTGAACTCTTGTTGGCCATGTGGGAGTGTCCAGTGCCTTAATCATCACACCACCTGCTGGTCCTTCTCATGCCTATTTTAAAGTCCAGGGGTTTATCCAAACTCAGATATAAGAGTTCCAATTTTATTCCTGTTTTGATACTACATCCAGAACCTACAAGTTCCAAGCACCTGTAGATTCTTTTCAACTTAACTATTCACCTTATGAACTACTGAACTGTCAGTGGTTGGGGGAAAATACAGATACAGAGTTGGGACACTGTTCATGTAGGAAAATAAAAGTTGAAAACACATAATGTAAGTGTCATCAGATGTGATTATAGCTCATAATAAGATGAAGACAAACTTTATAGCTATTTAATATATTCACTAATTTAAGAAATTTTGTGGTCTTACAAAATGTGCTAATGGTATCATATTGGGGAATTTACATAAAATCACATTTTAAAAAGTTATTCTTTTACATGTTAAACCTTCTAAAATATGGGTGAACTAATTTCCCATTATTAAAGAGAGTGGAAGATGTGTCTTCTAGTGACATTTCATACCAAGGTTTTACTGACCCTTTTTCAAGCTTTCTAAGGGCCACATTCTTTATTAGTACCTTGTGACACAATAGTGCTTTTTTTTTTTTTGAGAGGTTTTTGCTATAGAGCGCGTGCACTCGCCAGACAGACAGAGAGAGACAGAGAGATAGAAAGCGAGAAATCATCCCCCATGGGGGATGGCCACGCCACAATCCCTTCTCCTCCATTCTCCTCTCAGGATCTTGGGCACGCACGCACACGCGCCTGGCGTGAGTTTAAGCCACCGGGTCCGGGACTTGAACCGCGGTCGACTATGTGGCAGTCCAGTGACATAGCCATTATGCTAATTGCTGGTCCCAACACAATAGTGCTTTTTGAAATTTAATGAGCGCATGAATTCCTGGGACATTATTCTCAAATACAAATTCTCATTCAGTAGGTGTGGCAATGGCTTTCAGATTCCGTATTTCTAACGCTATACCAGGGGATTCTAGAGGTGGCTGCTGGTCTCGGGACCACACTTCAAGTAACAAGGTGCTAGACCTATTCTGCTTTAAAAGCATAGTCACTCATAGAGTATGAGAAAAGAGCCATTTTCTTCCATCTGTTACTCTATGTTTGTTTCTAAACTGTTGCAAGATTAACCTTTGGACATCAGTTCAGGGGTTAGTCATGTAAATAATTTGTTTGCACAGTATGAACAAACTGTATGAATTTGATTTATGTGATTTTGATTTTGACAGTGTCTGCACCTATTCTGTAATTGACATTATTCTCATTTCCATTTTATGATCTGTAATCATCCATTCTCTTTACAAGCCCAGCTCAAAGTAGCAGAACTAAGTTACATGATACTACTACTAGTATATGGGACCCACTCCAAGACTTCATTGTACTAAGTAGGGGACTTCGGCTTGTTATTTTATGGCTTCAAATATAATTCACTAGTAAATGCTCTAACTCTCCCTCAGCTCGGTAAGTGGGATAGGGCTATTGTTGCATAGATCATTCGTTGTGGATGTTGATCTGTTATATCATTGACAACATACACATATGCTTCAATTTTTGAAGATTATTCAGGTTTTCTGATTTTTTAAAAAAACAATCCAAACCTATTGATACATCATTTGATACAGAGCTTCTAGTTAATACTTTTGAATTGATGCCAAAGGAAAGTTCTGACTGTAAATCAGTTTCTTTGGTGTTAATTGGTAGATGACCTTGCCCTCTCTCAAGCTATGTGAAAGGTGGTGAGATGCTCCCAAAAGTCTGCCAAGTGTTTAATTCAGGAAAGCATAATGGGTTAAAAACCCATTATGGGGCCAGCAGGTGGTATGGTTGTTGGTGTGATTGGATTCCCACACGACCAATTGTGGACCTGGTGGCTTGGAACTCATGCTGGGTGCATGTGTGCATGCCCGGGATCCCAGGAAGAGAAGGAAGGAGAAGGGATTGCAGTGTGGCCATCCCCCTGGGGGTGATTTCTCACTTTCTCGCTCTCTGTTTCTGTCTGTCTCCTCTCTCATGAGTACATGTGCCCTATGTCAAAAACCTAACAATAAATAAATAATTAATTTTAAGATAAAAAAATTTAAAAATCCATTATGTTACACTTTCTTTGCTATATGCTAGGATACAAAGATAAATGAGATTCAGTCTCTGCCCTTGAGATACATTGCAAAGCAACATGGCAAGCTCTACAAAGTAATGAGAAGTCCAGAAAGTAATGTACTATTTATATTTTATTCTTCATTGCCAAAGAAATGATGAAGAATTACACAAAAGTGAAACACAGAATACTGGAACTTCAGGTGCTTGCCAATATCTGCTGCCTAACTTTAATTAAAACGATTGCTGAAAGACATTAAATATATAAATGCTCTTCTGAAGCACATGTGATTAACTTCCAGAGAGTCTACAGTTTATTTTTAGGGCAATCTGAATTATTAGAAAGATAATATGTGGGTGGCATTATTTAGATCTCCCCCATATAGAGTTGCCTTTACTATGCTTTCAAATTACATTTTCAGCGTATATACAAATATTTCACATGAAACAAACTTCAGCTTACACATCTTGTGATGTATGTTCTATACAGCTGTTAATGAAAACTTGAGCAGCAGATCATTTATTATTTCTTATAGAAAGATGCTTAAAGAATTTAGATCTTATACATCCTCTCAAAATATTCTGTTTCTTTCAATACCAGTTAGATACATTGAACTCCTAAACTCCTCATCCTCACTTAAACCAGTCCAGTGTAAATGTTGTGTTCTGTTCTTATATACAATGAAAACTATGTAACTGATCACATTTACCCATTCTTTCAGTTACCAGGGATGTCAGAGTCTAATTAACAGCTAAACATTAATACCAATAAAGGGTTTTGTCTCTGTCTTTCTTCTCTTTTACCGTAGTGAATGCAACTTCATTTACAGGAATAGTATATTATCTTAATTTTCTGTGTGTCCCCATTTAAATGTCCTCCACAAATCAGAAATTGAGTAAACAAATGAATAAATAAATAGTTCTAATGTTTGACCAAAAAAATTAACTATTGGTTGACTGTATGTCATTGTTTTATAATTTTTTTTTTCATTTTCACATCTTAGCAATGTATACTAATACAGCTGGGTCTAAATTTATTTTCAATGAACACTAAAATATCAAAAAACGTATCATCTAATTAACTAGGAAGATAAAAAGTCTAAATTACAATGAGTAAATTATATAATTATAGATCTGCTTAACTTTAAAACACTCCATTTCTGTTTAGGTTTGTGTGATTGCTAGAGAGAGAGAAGGGGAGAGAGGAAGAATGAAAGTGAGGAACTTTCTTCAGAGGAATGATCAAGGCACAGTCCCTTCTCCGTTCTCCGTTTGGGATTTTGGGCTTGCACACACAAGTGCTTGGCGTGTTTTTCAAGTCATTGGGTCTGGGAATCCAAATGGGCAGTTAGTCATGTGGGATCTATCTACCACCACCACAATGATACTGGCTGGCACCCCCTTTTACTTTTTTTTTACAACCTAAATAGTATTCCTTTTTCTTTCTCTCTCTCTTTCTTTCTTTCTTTCTTTCTTTCTTTCTTTCTTTCTTTCTTTCTTTCTTTCTTTCTTTCTCTCTCTCTCTCTCTTTCTTTCTTTTTCTTTCTTTCTTTTTTTTTTGTTTTTTCTTTTGGAGAGGTTTTCGCTATAGGCTGTGTGTGCTTGCCAGAAAGACAGAGAGAGACAGAAAAACAGAAAGTGAGAAATCACCCCTCAGGGGGGATGGCCACGCCACAATCCCTTCTCCTCCATTCTCCTCTTGGGATCTTGGGCATGCATGCACACAGGCTCGGCTTGAGTTTAAGCCACCGGGTCTAGAACTCGAATTGCATTGACTACATGGGTGTCCAGCAACATAGCCATTACACCAACTGCTGGTCCCCTTAAATAGAGTTTCTTATATGACTAGGACTTTTTGTTATCAGAGATTAGAAGTGTTAATTACTTACCTGTTAGAAGACATGGTAACTATAGAAATTAAGAGAGCATGATGGTCCCACTCTAATGAGTATGCTCTAAAAGGAGAGTGTCATAGAGAAACTAAAAGCAAGAATTTTCTCTAACAAGTCAGCTCAGGATTCTTTTGGAGAAAAGTATTTCTCATGTGACTTCTTGCCATCCTGGCTTGAGGTGACATTTTGCTCTCAAGTTTTGTGTAGTGAGATCACCTCTTAAACTTATTTGATAAAAATATTATC